CAGCGTATGAATCATTGACATGCAATGATCTTTTCTAACCCCAGCGGAAATCCCTGCGCATTAAATTGTAGATAGATTGTCATTGGGACTTTGACAGTCGCTCTGTTCTGCCCCCTCCCGTGCCTCTGCGTCCGTGCCCGTGAGTTTCACCCTCTGTGCCTCTGTCGCTGTGAACCTGCGACCCACCCTGAGACTCTGTGTCTGTGTCTGTGCGTCTCACTCTCGGCCCCTCCGCCGCGGCAGGTGGTCGGGGTCCTGCAGGAGTCCTCCTCCCCCGAGGCCGTCGAGCTGGTGGACCTGCTGACGTGCTTCGACATGGAGGGCCTGCTCTACTCGCACGACCAGATCGCGGCGCGCGGCTCACCGGCTGACTCTGGGGAGCCGGAGCCGGCGCCGGCGCTGGACGACTACGCTGAGCGCGTGCACCACTACACCGACCCGCGAGTGCGTGTCATACGGCTGGAGAAGACCAACGAGCCGCTGGTAAGGGCCCGCACGGAGACCGGGTGATCGTTCCCGTGCCTCCTCCCCCTGTCTGTGCATCCCGGGTTAACGGCGACTGTATGGCGGTGGAATGGAGTCTGTAGAGAAGGTGTCAAGAAGAGGGGCCCGGGCGGCTTTCACTGAAAGTGACTTTTCGCGGAAAGAGGAGTGTTGATGGATGGTTTACAGCAATCATTGTCATGTTGCATTTTGTGTGATATGTTAACATAACATGTCACTTGTCAGTACCCAGAAACACAGAGCTAAGTCCCTCGGAAATCAAGACTGGATGGTCTTATCAGACTGCATTTATGTCGATCTTATTTCATGCCCTGCAAGAGAGGTGTAGAAATAAATATGCGCTTGGTCATGCTCGTATTGGTCTATTTCTCTGTCAAGCACAGATCTGTATTATAAGTGCCTTAGCCTAACCTTTCTGACGCGTTCCTCGCTACTCTTAGGGCGCCACCGTGAAGAACGAGGGTGATTCAGTGCTGGTCGGCCGGATCGTGAAGGGAGGAGCGGCCGACAAGTCCGGCCTCCTCCGGCCAGGGGACGAGATTCTGGAGGTCAACGGCATCGAGATGAGGTCAGTGGATGGTGTGGATGTCGTTACCTGTGTTGTAGATGTGCTGAGCCGCTGTGTATGTATGTTTGTGGAACCAGTGTTAATGTCTGTGAGACTGTCAACTGTGTGCCAATGGATTGGCTTTATGTGAGCTGCTGTTTCTGTGAAGCGATCTCCATATCTTACGGCATTAGTGCACAAAACGTAAGAGATTGTTGTTATCGGGATATTGCCAGCGAGCGACATCATTTTTCGGCATGCTTCGCTAACGGCGGTGATTATTTCCTATGCAAAACTGCCTCGGCTTATATCCCGGAGACATTGTAAAGACAGAACGCTTCATGATTGCTGAGTCTGCAAGCAGACTTCATATTCATATGCATACCATCAATGGTGTACGGCGTTAGGAATGCACAGTTACTGTCATGAATTCTCAACAGGATGCTGCCGGTATGTTTTTCCCTTCCGAATCATCTCTGAGACTCGCGACGCAGCGAGGGAATTGGGCTCTATCTACCCTCAGAGCTCTGGTAATCTGGCGATATGGGCTGGTCACTAGTCCAATCAGCGCTCCCCATATTGCCTGTCTGCCAGTAGATCTCTGCGATGGTTCCCAAAGGGGAGATTTACCGTGATTCGCTGGGCGCGAGCTGCTCATCAGCGCGGATTGGCCGTCATCAGTGTCAACCTGAGCGGTCCGGTCGGGGGAGCGGGACACCCGCCCGCCCGGGGGACTCGGCTCTGTGGGGTGCCGCGGCTGTCAGTGGACGCCTGACGTGGCGGGTGACGTCGCGCCGCTGTTACTCAGCGCGGTGCCGCGGACTCACGTGCTCTCTCGTTCCGACAGGGGCAAGTCGGTGGATGATGTGTGTGACATCCTGGCCGGCATGACGGGCAGCCTGGTGTTCCTGGCGCTGCCCAGAGACGAGCAGGAGGAGCCCGAGAAGACCAAACCGCCCCAGGCAGTGGTAAGGCGCCGCGCGGCTCAGGCGGAGGATTGGCCAAAATGCCCTCTTCTTTGGTCAATTAACAGGCATGTTCAATTGAGCTGGCTAGGATTAAAGCATCAAATTATTATCATGTGGTTAGAGAGATGTACTCTTGGTGGTGTAAACAATTATGATCCCTCGGTTGGCTTGTTCCTGGTTCTGGGAAATCATTTATAGGTAGTGTGAGAAACAGGCAGCAGCTGCTAGTTAGGTTCGGTAAGCAAGTACAACACGACGTGTAGTGTAGTCGCCTCGTCTAACCGCCCCCGCCCTTCCCGGCCTCCAGTTACACGTGAAGGCGCACTTTGACTATGACCCGGAGGACGACATCTACATGCCGTGCCGCGAGATCGGCATGTCGTTCCAGAAGGGCGACATCCTGCACGTGACCAGTCAGGAGGACCCCGACTGGTGGCAGGCCACGCGCGACGGAGATGAGGACCTGCCGCTTAGTGGGCTCATACCCAGCCTCAGCTTCCAGACACAGTGAGTATCGCCCCGCCCCGGGAGCGGGCCCATCCAGACACAGTGAGTACTGCACCTGCCGCTCAGTGGGCTATACCCAATCTCAGCTTCCAGACACAGTGAGTGGCGAAGGGTAAACCAGGAGGGTAATATACCCAGTCTCAGCTTCCAGACACAGTGAGTGCCGTGGCCAGCGGACCCAGGGGAAGGGATAGCCTCAATATCACCTCCGATACTCAGTGAGTGTCGCGGTTGGCGGGCCTGGAGGAAAGGTGGGTATGACAGCAGGAGCTTTCCGAGTCAGTGCGACGGTCGGTGGGCCCCGGAGGAGTGTGAATGTGTCAGCGGAGGTTACAAAAGTTTGCTGTTTTAATTAATTCGGTGTTGTATCTAATAAGCTTTGTAAAACATAGCGCATGAAATGCTGCTGATAATTTGTACCTTATGGTGATAGCCAATAGTTATTAGTCATGACCGATGACTAAAAACAATGAATTATGCCCAAAATGGCCAGCTCAGGTTCCGTACAAAGATGTCTTTTGTCTACCCTTGCGTCTAGAATGTTTTTGATTCACCCCTAACAACGTGTTACTTTTTCAGGAGGGAAACACTCAAACAATCAATCATAGATAGCAGTCGAAAGGAGGGCAAGAAGAATAAGTTCCTGTGTGCTAAGCGTACGAATAAGAAGAAGCGGAAAATGTATAATGCAGAGTACAATGATGGTGAGTGATATCCCGAGTACTCCTGGCGACTGTGCTCCTGCCTCCTTCGACCTTAAATGTGCCTTCTATGTCGTGTTCAATCCATATACCGTTCATAAGCATACCGGTAAAACGCCCGGCAACTCCCGATAGTTGGTATTTGTGGGACACTGTACGGCCCTTCATGGACTAAGTGGGTGGTTGCCAATATCACAATAATCGACCATATTGATGAATGCGTCTATAGGCTGTTAACAACATTACCGAAGTGGCCGCCCGAAACCTCCTCTCATCTGCATTATGTCATTTTCCTGGAGTGTTGTGCCATTCAGAATTATTATCCCCAAAACCGAAACGTATCGTCTGACTAATCATTCTTTTACTGGAGGCTGCCTGGCTACATTGCTGGCTGTACTGGCTGCTGGCTACTCTGACGACCGCCGTGTCCCCGTCGGCAGATTACGAGGCGAACGAGATCCTCACGTACGAGGAGGTGGGCCTGTACTACCCACGCGCCAACCACAAGCGTCCAGTGGTGCTGATCGGACCGCCCAACATCGGCCGCCACGAGCTGCGTCAGAAGCTGATGGAGGACACGGAGCGCTTCTCGGCGGCCGTGCCCCGTGAGTAGAAGCCTCTGGACTCTGACCTAGCCACTCACGGCTGGTAGCGAGGGCACACTAGAGTTGGTGGTCCCGTGAGAGCAGAAATTTGTGCGGCCTTTTCCTGCAAGTACGGTACTACTGGGTCAAATTCGTAATTACTTCACGTCTGCCGAAACTTTCACGGTTAGGACACATTTCTTCTACAGCTTTCTATTTATTTCCTATTAACGGTACACCTGTGAGTCCCATCACAGGTATGAACGCTGAGCCCTCTGGTTAACATTCCCGCGCTAGCCCGCTGGACTGGATCATCTCCGCTGGGCTAGACTCTGCCTCCGCGGCACCCTGTGTACAGAATCTACCCCTGGCGATCCGATCTGGCGCTGTGTATGCTGGGGAACGGCGCTGGAAATGCCGTGTAAACATTTACCCACCGACGTGAGCCGGGCTCGTTTGCGGGGCATTTGATTACGCGTGGACGTGCCCTGCACCTGGTGGGAGGTTCCTGCCCGCGCTGTTTTCTCTCCTGGGGTGTGATGGCTGACCCCTCTCCCCTCTCCGCCCAACTACTCCAGACACGAGTCGGCCCCGCAAGGACACAGAGGTGGACGGCCAGGACTACCACTTCATCTCGCGGCCGCAGTTCGAGCAGGACATCGTCAACCGGCTGTTTGTCGAGCACGGCGAGTACGAGCGCGCTTACTACGGCACCAGTGTCAGCGCCATCCGCACCGTGGTCAACAGCAGCAAGATCTGCGTGCTCAACCTGCACCCGCACAGCCTGAAAATCCTCAAAACCACCGACCTGAAGCCTTTCGTGGTGTTCGTCGCGCCGCCGTCGCTGGAGAAGTTGCGACAGCTCAAACAGAAGGCCGGCGAACAAGTCAGGGTAGGTGGCCAAGGGAGACGGGATGAATGGGAGGGGAGGGATGAGGTACGAGGGACGAGGGACTAAAGTAGACGGATGAGAGATGAGGAGAAAAAGTAGACGTTTGAGGGATGAGGGGCGGATTTGAACGGTGTGGGATGAGGGAGGGATGTAGACGGATGAGGAACCGGTGAAGGGGTCTGGGACGAGAGAACCAGGTCCGCTGCTCGCGGGTTCGACTGGAGAGTGGGGCTGCTGTCCCCGGGCTGCAGCCGTTTGACCTAGAGATGTGAGGGTTGTACTGTGACTCAGATGTCTGAATTTGAGTTTCAGTCGTTTTTTTTCTTTTCCAGAGATGTCACAATTATGATTTTATTGCCACTGATATTTATATCGCTATTTCAGCTGCATGTTGAGATTACGGTCGAATCGGATGAGTGTCGCTCTGACCGCGTGACGTGTCTGTCCCCAGGACGACGAACTGAAGCAGATCATAGAGAAGGCGCGCGAAATTGAGGAAGTGTACGGTCACTATTTCGACATCGTCATCATCAACTCTGACCTGAACCGGGCGTACGAGCAGCTCATCCACGAGATCAACACGCTGGAGCGCGAGCCGCAGTGGGTGCCGGCCTCGTGGCTGCGGCAGGACCTGGCGTAGCGGCGTCCCGGCAGCGAGCGGCCGCTCCGGCCCCGCCGCCCGGCTGAGGTCAGTGGCGACAGGCGGCTGGGCTACTGGGCTAGCACGGGCAGCCGTGAGGGTTGAACGAGCTAACGTACTGGGTGTAATGTGTAATGTCTCAATGGTTTTTCGTCTGTTTGCTTTCGTTATCTGATAACCTACCCTCGCTTTGATTCAGCTTCAACTAAATGTCACCAGCTGTATGTATTAGAGCTAACATTAGTGTGAATACACTCAAAATCAGCGAGTGCTACTCACAAATATTTTCAGAGCTGGTTAACTTTCTGGGTAGCGTTCATGCACTGTCTCCATCCACTTGACCTCTCAGAACTGATAGTGATGACTGACCGTTGCGCTGACCGGCTGTCTCTCTGCCCGTCAGCTCCGGCCGCGTTACCCGGCGCCGCCTCCCGCCCGCGGCCTGCTGCCCACTCATCGCCAGCGGCCGGCGCCAGCTCCGTTTTGTGGTATTTCTTCTTTGGCCGCGTTGTGAGGCCGGCGGGCCCACCGCGCACGTCCGGGGCCGCGGCTCGGCGCACCCGGGGGACGTCACTCGACACCCGGTGCCGATATTCGGCACTGGCCGGCGGCGCGGGGCGGGCCGGCCGGGCGGCGCGTGCTTCCAGACGGCGGCCGGCCTCGGTGCTCGTCTTCCCGTGTGTCGCGCCCAGGGAGGGCTCTCTCCACCGGTCGGCCGCGGGGCCCGCCACCGCTCACCAGCGCCCGTGTACAGGATCGCCCCGACCTGTGTATAGCGTTATTACGTTACCCTGTATATTGTTGTTACCGTGTATACCTGAAAATAAATATACGTTTCACGCAGTGCGCGATGGCTGTTGTTCGGTTGATCACCTGACGACCACGACCGCGTCCATTTGCGCACCACGCCTCTAACTCCACCCTGCAGACTGTTGATGTTGAACACGGGTCTGTAGATACCAGGACCAGGGTGTTTCGGTAACAGTGACGAAGGGATAGGTTCATTGGCGGTACCCTAAGAGATGATCGAAGACGTGATCGACTGACGCCAGAAAGTAATTCCACGAGGTCCGGGAGGAAGAAGATATTAGTGTCCAGGGGCTTGGCGGATATTCGGAGGTGGAGAAAAGTACGGAGGTAACTGGTGTCAATTTATTCATCTATTCATAGGCTGGAGTCACGAGTCGACTCTAGAATAATGTCTTTGATCCGATAAGTGAGGCGGGTGAGTGCTGGGCTGTGGGAAAATGCTGCGAATATCTAGTATCAGACAGCACGCGAGAGATGTGCGAGTGATCACAAACGATTCCCTATGTAAACTCTCACACTTCCGAAGACAATCGGCGGCACTTACTGAAGAACGCCGGTGTTTCACAACATTACCGCCCCATACGAGCGAGGCGTTACTCGGGGGGATTGGTGTGTAATTGTGGAGGGATTTATCTGCTGAACTTGCACGTGATAAGGAAATATTGCAGGGCGGGTGTCGGCCTAGCGATGTACGGCAAAGTCCACCAAAGGTGCTCTCCGCGTCCGTGAACTCACGCTTAACCCGCGCCCCACTGGGGGGGGGGGCTATTTATAGCCCCCCTTCCCGTTTTTCTGCAATAACTTCCAAACCGCTTGACGGATCGACGCCAAACTTACAGTACCTTTGGCTGCATCAATTTTACACCTTGTGTCAAAATTTGAACTTCGTAGCTACCATAGGTCGGCCGGAAATGACGTCAGAGTGACGTCATGTTCGGCCGATTTCGACGCAAAACATTGAACCACGGCAATCGCTCCCAAGAGCTCAGTTTTTAAGCTAGATCCAATTTATTTGCATGAAAGGACTCAGAATTGACCGCGCTATCAAACTGCTATCTCGAATTTTCAAAATTTTGAAAATTTCGAAAATTTGATATAATAATATTCAACATATGTATTTTTATATTTTTTTTCAAAAAGTTTTTGACTTTTCGAAAAAACCGGAATATATGTGACAGAACGCTTGATTATGACTAACTCTAGCAAGTTTTAGCTAAATATCTTCTAAAATGGCCAAGTTATACGCATTATTGCAAAAAATTCACAATTATTAATTTTTCAAATCAATTTTTCAGTACGTATTTGACATCGTACACCAATATAAATGGCACCATCGTGTTCCTGAGCTCAAACTGCATCCAATAGACACCTTTTTTGTTGAAAAATTTTAACTTCAAAATTTGACCTTTTTTTACCTGAAAGTGACCTGACCTAAGCTAAATTCGACTCAAAATGACCTCGAATGACACAGACGACATCAAATTCGAAATCTATGGCCTAAATGGACCATAAAACATGTGTCACGTGACCGACGCATGATAAAATATTTTCGTGACCTGTGATGACCTGACCTTGACCTGAAAATCAAAGTAAAAGCTTGGTACCCTCAGGGTATCTAGAGCATCTGTTTAAGAGTGTGTGTACCAAAAATGAGCCTGATCTGACTTGTAAGACGGCGGCCAGAGCCCAAAATGTGAACAAGCTAAAATGCTAATAATTTTTACTTTGACCTGACCTGTGACGTCATCGGTGACCTCGAGGTCAATGAAATTAGGTTTCGCTCGACAGTTTTTCCGGGGCTATCAGACGCCGTTTGAATTTTGACGATCGGCCCAGTAGTTTCGGAGTTAGGAGGGGGGGCTATGAATAGCCCCCCCCCCCCCCCCGTAGGGCGTGTTATACACAGACCCCAGTGGGGCGCGGGTTAAGAAAGGCGTGTCTGCCCCACCATCGGTTTTCCAGCTCTCAGTAAGCACGCGATACACGGTGCCAGTCACACTAAAAGCAGCTGTTCTCTCCGGTTCATCTCCGTGTATTGTCGCCGGAATATGAGGCACATGGTATCACATGAGAGAGCGCCGGCGCCGCAGCAGCCGACAGAGCACACCACACGCGCGCACCCACACCGACTCTTTGGCACCGTTCGTCTATCGATATAGAAGGCGTCTGGGGAGCCAAGGCCGCAAGCTTGGCCCTATAAGCGCCGATCTAAAAACATAGCAAAGCAGATCTACAGCTCCGCTCGGCGCTCTATAAACCTATGTTGCATAAAATCCGTCGCGCCGGGCGCTCACTCTGTAAAACTTTGCTCGTAAATAAATACAAGCAGCACCAGTAAAATCTCATTGCCACTGTGAGCAGCGATTGTCAAAGCGACTGACAAGACAACGACCAACGGCCGTCCCAGTGGGGACAGCAAATCAACACGCTACGAAAGAGACGCTACGAAAACAGATAAGCTGCACAGTCGGCTTAGTAACTCATGGTGAGGGGCTGGAACGAGTGATCGGCAGCACGCCGACCGCAATGGAAGAGCAGTAGCTGTGTCAACTGTCTGCACCCGCGCAGTGTACTGTGTGTGTGTCCCAGGATCTCTGGGATATGTGCTCGTAAATCGCACCAGAGCTGCTGGTGACCAGAACGATTCAGCTGCAATTGGCTATATAGCTCTGCGCGAGAAAAGCAGAGTGAAGATCTCAAGAGGTGTGAGGTAAAGTGAGAGAGGGCGTGGGAACTTCTCAAACCTCACACGCGGCACCAACAGCTGGGACGGGGGATTATGCCACGGAGTCGCGGCGCTTCGCAGTCGACAGGCAGGCCGCCGGGCCCGGCCGGGGACCGGCGCCTTCGAGCCGAGCGGCAGGGGCGGGCCATGCAAACGCACCGCCTCCTGGGAGCCGCCGCAGCGGGGCCTTCCGGACCCCGCATTCGTTTCGTTGCACGTCGATGCAGTCGATTGACCCTCGGGCGGGTGCGTGTTGCCGCTAGCCACTGAGGCCGAACAGTTTGACGGCGTTGTAGGTGGTCTTCATGGCCACGTCGTAGACGGAGTGACCCATATAGGCGGCGATCATCTCGGCGCTGGCCGCCAGCGAGCAGGGCTCGTTGCGCTGGAACGTGCAGTACCGGTGCAGAAACTGCAGCGCTCTGCCAGACCACAGGTGAGACACCCACGAGTCAGAGTCAGGGAGTCTGACACCCACGAGTCAGGGAGTTGGGCTGGGGTGAAAAACGGCGGATCGCGCTAGACACGGCACTGTGAGAGCAGCGTAACCAGAACACGCTACAGTCGAACAGTCAGTGGTGTTTTAACATACAAGTGGCAGACCAAAACAGTACAAAAAAAAACGTGCCACATTATCTCACCCGACAAAAGGAGGCGACAGTCGGGCGGCGGCAGTCACTCACCGTTCAGAGAGCCGGTCCTTGACGTGCTGGGCCACCTTGGCGGCGCGCACGTTCGGGAACATGAACGGCGAGTCGGTCTCGAGCAGCAGCCGGTCCAGCGGGATCGTCTGGTCCTCCAGCATGCGGCGCACGCCGTCCTCCGACTTGTCCTTCCACACGTAACCTGGCACAAACAATGGAGACTAATCGTACAAATCTGTAGAACAGCTCCAGTGTTATGAAGCATGCATCAACTTCAGAAATTAGACATATTAGGGTGGAGACTTACACTGGCGTCCAACCGGCGTCGAACTGAGCAGACGTCCAAGTTGGTGTCTAACTGTTGGACGGAGACTTCCAAGCTAGACGCGTCTTAAGTTAGCCGTCGCCAGATAGAAGCAGCCGCCGTCCAGCTAGACGCGTCTAAATGGAAGTCTCCACCCAGTATGTGCCATGCTACAAACAAGCAGACGATAATTCATATAGCAACAGCTGCCATTCCCAATGGTCAGCTCAGTGTGAGTGGAAAATCCCTACAGCGAGGGCTATTGTAATGTCAAGTATGTATATGTAAGACACGTCCTCCACCGCCGGTCTGACCGCGGGGACAGCGTCCGTCCCCCCGGCCACGTACCGGTCAGTCCGATGTAGAAGCCCATCTGCAGGTACTTAGCGGCGTGCTCGGCGCTGCCCGTGAAACAGTGGATCACCGTGGGCGGCAGGCGCTTGCCGAACGACTCCAGGATGGAGACGAGCTCCGAGTGTGCCTCTCGCTCGTGGACAAACAGCGGCTTCTGCAGTTCACAGGCCAGCGCCACCTGGGTACCAGGAGCGGTGGGATCGGGTCACACAAAGAACGGGGAACACAGGCAGGACATATACACAGCAGACAAGTTGAGAATAGAAGAGTCAAGAGACCATAGAAGTAGTTCGCTTGTGTGTAAGTATTTAACCCTATTCCTGGCGGGGGGGGGGGCCTCAGGAGCCCCCCCCCTGAGGTTTTTTGATTATTTCTCCCAAACGCGTTGAGCTAGGAAGCTCAAATTTTCTGACTTTTCCTAAAAGGCTTCTACGCAACATGTCTGAAAATTTTGAGTTGATCTGACCTCAGGTCAGGTCACCAGAGGCGGTTTGGTGACCCTACCTCAGAAAAGTTTGCAATCACGCCAGAGCTAGAGTTTTTGACCGATCAATTTCTTCTCTTCAGGCTTTAGTTAGGGTACCAGTATGTGCAATTTGTATATCTCGGAATTTTGATATCGGTGACCTAAGGTCAGGTCAGTTTCGCGACCTCCCCATTATAAGTCAATGGGGGAAAAATCAACTCCCTGTTTTTACCACTAAAACGGGTCGGAATGGCCCCATATACCATACATGACTTCATATACGATCAACCTTCACTACCTTGAGGTCTGTTTTGCTGTTGGGCAGCTGTGAGGTCATGTGACGTCATCAAAGGTCACCAAAGGTTTTTGGCCAATAACTCCGTACAGGAACAAGATACAGACGCGTGGATGGTCTCATTATGTTCAGCTCGTCAAGACGCATCGAATGATATACATGATGACCTCGAGGTCACGTGACCTGAGGTCAACCTTTGACCTTGACCTTTCGAGGTCAACATATATATCATTCGATGCGGATTGACG